ATGAAAGGGATGCTGTGACTAAAAAATAAATAGGGAACAAAAAAAATCTTAGAAATTAAGACTTTAATTGTTAAATTAAAAAAAAATCAATGGATGGAGAAAAAGGCAAAGTGATTCTCCCCAAATGTCACAGGTGGAGACACAGAGACGGGAGGTGCAGGAGAAAAAGGTGGGAGCGTGGTCAGCAAGCCCACCGGGGCCAGGAGCTCCATGAAGAGAGGGAGCAGAAGGAAACACTTTTAAAACCAAACCTGAGGAAAAAAATGCTTTAAGACGGAAATTGAATGAGCCAAGACGGGACACAGGTTTTCCATCGGAAGCGCACACGGACTGCCCGGCACAGCGACAGAGAGAAAACCCAACCCCGTGTTGCTCCCCAGCTTAAAGAGAAGTCCTAGAGCTTCCAGGAGGAAAAGTAAGGTTTTCCACACGCTTCCCCCCACCCACTCTGCATGTCACAATCACATGCAAGGGTAGAATCGTGACATTTTTAGACATGGAAGAATTCAGCAAGTTTACCAAATATACATTTTTTAGGAAATAAGAGCAAAAACCAAGAAAGAAGGTGGCTTGGGAATTCAGGAACGAGTGGCCCTAACGCAGGAGAGAGCTGTGAAGAGGCGCAGAGCACCTGCAGGGTGTGGGGAGGAGAGAGGAGGGCTGGCAAGGAAGATCTCCGGGAAAAGAGGCTCCGAGTGATACGCAGTCTACCAGAGAGGCTGCACAAGACTGAGGGTGTGACAAAGGCACGCAAGAGAAAAAGGCAATTAGAAACCCCAGGAAATGGATTGGAAGGCAGACCAAAAAAAAAGATAAACTCCAGGAAAAACAAAGAGCTGTACAACAAAGGTTCTGAATATGATGCCAAGTAAAACATGCCATGATTTTAAGAAACTGACAGAGAAGGAAGAAAGAAAGAGAGGAAAGAGAAGCACGAGGAGGAACAGAAGGAAAGAAAAAGGCAGGAAGGAAGGAAGGAACATACACACATACACGGCTTTGCTGCTGCAGGAAGCTAACAAAACGCTCAGCAGATATGGACAGTCCTTTCAGAGGAAGAAGAATGCAATCAGTGGTCGATATCCAGAGAGACGCTGGGCCTCGCCAACAGTTTTTAAAGGCACTTTTACAAAATGAAAAGACACTGCCCGTTGGCTCAAGACGGAACGTGTGTTCTCGTGCCCTGCGGGTGGCTGTGTTACTGACACAGCCTTTTGGGGGTCTGTTTAGCAGTGTCTATATTAATGTAAATGCACACTCCCAACTTGCAATTAAAATGGCTGGCTACAGGCGCGGTGGTGGCTCACACCTGTAATCCCAGCACTTTGGGAGGCCGAGGTGGGAGGATTGCCTGAGCCCAGGCGTTCAAGACCAGCCTGGGCAACATGACAAACCATGTCTCTACAAAAAATACAACCAATTAGCTAGGCATAGTGGCACATGCCTGCAGTCCCAGCTACTCAGAAGGCTGAGGCAGGAGGATTGCTTGAACCAGGAGTCTGAGGCTGTAGTGAGACTTCATTGTACCACTGTACTCCAGCCTGGGGCAATGAATCAAGATACTGTCTCTAAACATAAGTAAATAAAATACCAGGCTGCTGACACTCACTTCCCAGTAGCACCATATAGGTGGAAGGGAATCGGGGTGGTCTGAAGTCCCTCAAGACATCCAGCTTTTGGGGGAGACACTCAGGAAGCAACCCAGCCTGCCAGGATCCCCAGAAAGCCTCAGGACTTGGGCACCCCTGCTGGTTTGGGGGCATGCAGACCCCACTGGAAGGCCCCTGGGCCTCCTACCTGACCACAAAGCCCCCCCAGGAGGACTAGAAGCTCACTAGGGGTTTGAACAGCTAAGGACTCAGCACGCAGGGTTGGACCAGTTGACACTCAGGACCCCACTGTCCTCCCCAGCCCCAGCTGGCCTCTCTGCACACCAGCAGCACCCTTCTGCCTCCAGACGGGAGATGAGGGTTCACCTCCAGAAACTTCCAGAGTGAGAGGCCCTATCAGGAGACACGTGGCCCACAGCAAGCCATGACGAACGGGGGTCAAGAACCAACATCTACAGGGCCAGGTGTGGTGGCTCACACCTGCAACCCCAGCAGTTTGGGAGGCCGAGGAGGGTGGAGCACCTGAGGTCAGGAGCTCCAGACCAGCCTGGCCAACATGGCGAAATCCCATCTCTACAAAAAATACAAAAACTAGCCGGGTGTGGTGGTGGGCAAAGCTGAGGCAGGAGAATCGCTTGAACCCAGGAGGTAGAGGTTGCAGTGAGCCGAGATTGTGCCACTGCACTCCAGCCTGGGCGACAGAGCGAGACTCCGTCTCAAAATCAAAAGGTAGGGCTGCAGCCAGCATGCCTCTCACCTCGCCTTCCTAATTAGTGAAATGGCCCTTTCTGGTCCCATCAATCTGCACCTTCCTTTGGCCGGTGCAGTGACTCACACCTGTAATCCTCACACTTTGGGAGACCAAAGCAGGAAGATCACCTGAGCCCAGGAGTTCGAGTCCAGCCTGGGTAACACGGCGAGGCCCCATTTTTACAAAACATATAAAACTAGCTGGGGGGGTGGTGCATGCCTGTAATCCCAGCTACTGAGGAGACCCAGGAGGCCAAGGCTGCGGGGAGCCAAGATTGTGCCACTGCACTTTGGCCTGGCGTCAGAGCGAGAGCCTGTCACTCACTGTCTCACTTGTGTGTGCCCTCTCTCTCTCTCTATATATATATATATGTATGTATGCATATGTATATGTATGTATATGTGTGTATATCTATGAAGATGTATGGAAAGGCAAACCCGAGTGCCCTTGCAGCATGAAGAGCAGGTGCAATTATTCCCAGGACAGAGCCATTTCTGCCAGCGCTGTTCTGTGCGTGCAAATGCATGAGAAGGTCTGGAAGACCGCCGATGGCCCTGACGCCCCCTCAGGCCTGGGATTCAGGGGCTGGGCCTGCTGCGGGCTTCCCCCACAGGCCTCTAGATTGGATTTCCAATTGCTGTCAGCACTAATTATTATTGGAGACAGAGTCTCACTCTGTTGCCCAAGCTGGAGTACAATGGCAGTTTTGGCTCACGCAACCTCGGCCCCTCGGGTTCAAGTGATTCTCCTGCCTCAGCCTCCCGAGTAGCTTGGACTACAGGCACCCGCCACCACACCCTGCTAGCTTTGTATTTTTAGTAGAGACGGGGTTTCATCACCTTGGCCAGGCTGGTCTGGAACTCCTGACCTCAGGTGATCTGCCCGCCTCAGCCTCCCAAAGTGCTGGGATTACAGGTGTGAGCCACTGCGCCCGGTCTGTTTTTAAAACTAAAGGAATGGACACTGCCACGTTAAAGGCAGTGGGACAAGCCCCTGCGCTGGTTGGAAGGGGCCCGGCGCCGGCCTACCTGCCCAGGATGAAGGCGATGTAGATGAGCGAGGAGAAGTGGGTGAAGAACTGCAGCGTGAAGAAGCGGATGGTGAACCTGCTCTCCCGCTCCGAGAAGGTCCGGGGCTTCTCTGGAAAGGGACGGGCCCTCACCTCTCTCCCTGCTCAGGGGAGAGCCCCCTCCCCGGTCTCTGACCACAGCTCCAAGGCTCCAGCCCTGAGTCCTCCCGCCGGGTCCCCCAGGAGGGTCTGGGTCGTCCTCTCACCAAAGTCGCAGAGCTTCAGGGCCACGAGCTTATTGACCTGTGGAGGAGAGTTCCGAATGGGCTCGCCGCGGCCCCGCAGACCCCAGCGCGGCCCACCCTGCTCCCGGCCCCACCTTGGTCATGATGACGATGGTCACGTAGTGCACCAGGGCCCCGGTCACCACCACGGCCGTGGTCACCTGCTCCTCCAGGAAGGGCAGCGCCGAGCTGCTAAAGAGCGCAGAGGCCAGGACTCGGTAGACCACCAGGACATGCGCCATGCCGATCATGAGGGAGATCTGTGGGACGGCTGCGGTGGGCGCGGGGCCGGGGAGGGCGCGGGGAGGTGCGGGGACAGGGAGGGCACAGGTGCGGGGGTGGGGGATGTAGGGCCGATGGGAGGCGTGGGAGCAGGGAGGGCGGAGAGGGCTCAGCCGGTCTCCATCCCCACCAGGGCGTCCCCTGCGCACCATGAGCAGGGTGAGCACGAGGATCACGGTGCTGCGCAGGTAGGAGTGCTGGTGCAGCTGCAGTTTGTAGCCGGGACAGTGAATGAGCTCAAGCGCCATTTCCTCCTGCGGAGAGTGGAGGGCAGGCCTCAGACACGGGACACACGACCCACATGTGGAGAGACAGACAGGGACATGCCTCACACGTGAAACAGACACAGGACACATGACCCACACATGGAGGGACAGACACAGGACACATGACCCACACGTGGAGAGACAGACACGGGACACATGACCCACACGTGGAGAGACAGACACAGGACACATGACCCACACGTGGAGAGACAGACACGAGACACGTGACCCACACGTGGAGAGACAGACACGGGACACGTGACCCACACGTGGAGAGACAGACACGGGACACGTGACCCACACGTGGACAGACACAGGACACGTGACCCACATGTGGAGAGACAGAGGACATGCCTCACACGTGAAACAGACACACAGGACATGTGACCCACACGTGGAGAGACAGACACGGGACACATGACCCACGGTGGAGAGACAGACACGGGACACATGACCCACATGTGGAGAGACAGACACGGGACACATGACCCACACGTGGAGAGACAGACACGAGACA